AGCGTACGCCTGTACTGTCTTCAAGATGTATCTATATTTCTCTATTCATAAATGTTAATATATATTTATATATTTGCGTATTAATATATATAAATATACATATATAAATATATATATATATATATATGTATATACGTAAATATATAAATATGTATATTATCAAATATGTATAATGCATGCCTAATACGTATAATATAAATGATATATACATCATATATTATATCTGTCTATTAATCTCTATCATACTTCAATTACATATATATACGATTTGTTTATTATATATATATATATATATATGTATTTACATATATTTACATATATATATAAACAAATCGAGCGTACGCCAATTGTTGATAATTTGTTTGCGTTTGTTGAAGAAGAGATAAAATAAACATAAAAAAAGTAAAATAAAAAACAAATAAAATAAGAAAAAACTATTATTGCTTCTTCTATAACAAAACCCCCCAAACAAATTCAGAAAATAATCAATCAGCAGCGCCAACTGCCTTCGTCTGCTGCAGCAAATGTTCCTCTTGCTGCTAGGAAGCAGCAGCAGCAGCAGCAGCGGAAGCAGCAATAGCAGCAGCAGAGGCAGCATTAAAAGAAGCAGCAGCAGAAGCAGCATCAAAAGAAGTAGCAGCAGCAACAGCAGCATCAGCCTGAGCACTAGGAGGAGCAGGAGAGCAACCAAATTAATTAATTAATTAATTAATTATTTAAATTATCTATGAAACAACTCTTTTCTTTGCAAGTGCTGCTGCAGACATACCAAATGCTTCAATTACTCTCAGCGGCCACCGAAAATCAAGAGAGAAATAATCTTTATGAATCTTACCGAACATAAAATATATTTCTTTCTCCTGCTCTTCTTCTCTGCTGCTGCTGCTGTAGTTGCTGCTGCTGCTGTTGCTGTAGTTGCTGCTGTTGCTGTTGCTGTTGAAACAGCGCAGCAAAGCTGTCTCCTGTGCACCTGCACCTGCTGCTGCTGCTGCTGCTCCTGCTGCTTCCGCTCCATCATGCTGTTGCTGCTGCTGCTGCTGCTGCTGCTGCTGCTGCTTCGTGCTGCTGCTGCTGCTGCTGCTGCTTCGCAGAAGCACTAGTATTTAACACCATCTGAAAGTTTTTTGCTGAAGGAAGACGAGCCCTGCCGTAAAAAGGCAAAGAAAATGAATTCAACGTCGGATCCCAGCGAGGAGGGAGAGGCTCCAGTGTATAGACACCCCCTGCAAATAAATAAATAAATAAATAAATAAATAAATAAACATAAATGAATATATAAATACATAAATAAATAAATAAAATATAAATAGATATATAAAGGCTATTAATAATATTTGATACGCAAATCACAGCAACTCAACGGCAAACCCTCAGCACATACAAACAAACAAATATTTATTTGTGTATACACCTATAATATATATATATACATATATATATAGACATATATATATATATATAGACATATGCTTATATATATAGACATATCCATA